TCCGGCCTTAAGGAGCTTGACGATAGGCGCGACAGCCTCATCGTCCCGATACGCCATGCGTATCCGATCATATAGATCCGTTGTCACCCGCGTGATGTGGGCCAACTCATAGTCGGGACGCCTAGAGAGAGCGTCCGCAAGCACGTTGAGCTTGCCCGGCTTGTACTCGACGCGGAAGTTATATTCCGCGAAGAAGGACAGCCACCTCGCCATCCGTTGGGAGAGGTGAGGCGAGTTAGTCGCCGTCCTCAAGGACGCGTGGTCTGTGTAGATCACAAAGGGCGTAGAGCCCAGAAGGTGAACACGGAACTTCACAAGGGCATATTTCATTGCCAGGAGCTCCTTGTCATGGACAGGGTAGTTCCGCTCGGCGGCTTTGAGCTGCCTGGACTGGAATGAGATGACTCGTTCCTGTCCAGCCGTGTCGTCCTGCAGCAATGCACACCCGATGGCGTAATCGGAGGCATCGCAGACGACGCTAAACGGCTTCGTCTCGTCCGGCAGAGCCAGGACAGGGGCCTCTTGGAGACTGGCCTTGATGCTGTCAAAAGCATCCTGGTGCTCTTGCTCCCAGCGCCAGTCGACGTCCTTCTGAAGGAGGCTCGACAAGGGCTTAGCGAAGCCCGCGTACCCAGCGCTGTACTTGTGAAGGTAGTTGGCCAAACCCAACCACTTTCGAAGATCCTTCTGGGATCGGGGCGTCGGCCATGCTGCTATGGCCTTGACCTTGTCTGGGTCAGCCCGAACGCCCACGTTGCTTACGAAGCAACCGAGAACTTTGATCTCTGGTGACGCGAAAACGCACTTGTCGATGTTGGCGTAGAGCTTGTTCGCTCGCATCACGTCCAACACTCGACGGAGGTGTCCTAGATGCACCTCCATGGCCGTCTTGCCTCCCTCGGCACGGCTATGGACGAAAATGTCGTCGAAGTACGTCTGTACGAAGGTACGCAAAGGGCGGAACAATTGCGTCACCAGGCGATTGAACGTCGCCGGGGCGTTAGACAAGCCCTGCGGCATGACGAGCCACTCCCAAAGCATGCCGCTTGGAGTGCTTACCGCGGTGAGCGGGATGTCACTCTCTCGCATCAGGATTTGGTAGTATCCGTCTACCAAATCCAGCGCACTGTACAGTACGCTCCCGGCCATGTTGTTCAACAACACATCCTTTCGTGGGATCGGTGTTTGGGCCGGCACCGTTGCGTTGTTCAGCTTGTTATAAGCGTGAACCAGACGCCACTTTCCGTTCGGCTTACGAACGCAGAAAGTCGGCGTCGAGTGCGGGGATTTCGACTCCCGCACCATGCCTGCCTTCGCTTTCGCGGCGAAGAAGGCATCAATGACCTCGCACTGTTCGCGCGGGAGAGGCCATTGCCTCGTGACACAATACTTTGTGCCGGGCACGAGATCAATCTCGTGCCGTACGCCTCGATCCGGTGAGAGTAGGGTCGGTGGGTGTTTATTCACCACGTCCGCATACTCCGTCACCAAAGGATACACCGGATCCTTGGGGTTCTTGATAATCTCAGAACCCAAGCGCGCCTGACGCTGCTTGTTCATGTCCTCCAGGACGTTCTCGTCCAAGACAGAGGAGGAGTTCAGCTCCTCCTGAGTGGTCTCAGGTCTCATGAGTACCATCTCAGCGATCTCTCCAGCCTTGAGGTTGGCCAGGAAAGACTCAGCCGTCATTTCCTCGAGGTTCAGTATCTCTGCAACCTCTGGCAACGGTTCCAAGTGGACACCAGATGCCTTGACGGGTAAACTTGTCTCGCTATCGAAGATGTGATAACACTCTTCCACCGGCCTTGTCGGAGGAGCCCGGGCCCTGGACTCCGAGTCGCTTGAAGCGACGTCGATCGGAACGAAGTTCGGATCCGACTTGAGGCGGCGGCGGCGTCTTTGCCGACGGCTTCTGTGACGGGGAGCTTTGCTGCCCACGTCTAGGGATGTCGTCGCTACAACATCCGAGGCACTCGTGGCCTCGTGTGGTACTGTTGTACCCACACAGGAAGCGTGTTCAACGCCTTCCTCTTCAGTTAAGGTCTGGGCGACCGCGTGTGGCACTGTGTTACCCACACAGGAAGCGTGTTCAACGCCTTCCTCTTCAGTTAAGGTCTGGGCGACCGCGTGTGGCACTGTGTTACTCACACAGGAAGCGTATCCGACGTCTTCCTCTTCAGTTATGGTCTGGGCGACCGTGAGTGGAACTCTGTTACCCACTCTGAACACGCTGTTCTCAGTGTTCATGACAGCTGCAGCTGTCTGCGGAACTAAGCTACCCGCCTGTGGACCTAAGTTACCCACTTGGCCGGCGCCTCTTCTGGGCGCGGCCACCATCAAAACATCCTCGGAGTCGTCATATACGTCGACGACTCCCAAGCATCTGCCGGATGCCTTGGTACCCTGGCAGCCCTCGCGGGCGCCCCGGGTCCTGACAGAGGTGGGAACATGACTCACCAATGCTCTGTCGGACTGCGCAGGGCGGCTGGCACCGATTGCCTTGCCTCGCCAGTCGATCCAGGACTCGTGCTTCTCAAGCCAGGGCATGCCCAGGATCATATCATATGGATCCATATCGAGAACAGTGAACTGTTCGAGGCTGTCAAAGTCTTCAAACTTGACAGCCAGATCCACTTGGACGTTGGGGACAGTGACGACCTTCCCGTCGGCCAGTCGCACTGACACCGTCCCGTTGCCCTTGCTTTCTCGCAAAGCTTCGGACAACTTGTTGCTGCTACGAGCAACCGTCTGGCGGCGTGCGAAATTCTTCGACGCCCCAGAGTCAATCAAGATTCTAAAGGGGTGGTCGTACCCCCGTACACATCCGTGTACTACGAGCAACCCGCCGCTGCTCTTCGCCGATTCGAGAGTGCGAAGACTCTCAGGGGCTAAGTCCCCGTGGTACGCGCCACCCGCGCACCCATCACGAAGACTTAGTTCTTCCCCAGTAGGGCGCCCCGCCCCTACTGGTTCCCTGCGTTCCCCTGTCCCCGGGATCCTGGCTTCTGCCAGCGACCCTTGAGGACGGGATTGGGGAAGGACCGTCTGCGGAGTCTTTCCGCGGGACAGTCGCGCTTGAAGTGGCCCATCTTCCCACAGCCGAAGCAGCGGATGTCACGCTGTTCGGCGGACCCGAGTTCCATGGGAACTGGTCCGTTGGGGCTTGTTCGACCGGGAGCCGACAAGGAACTCCCAGGCCACGCTGAGGCCGGCGTACGCGCCTGGCGATGGCTGTATTCTTCTTGAAGAGCCACTTGAATCGCCTCTTCAAGGGTGCTTGCCTGCACCCGGAACAGCTGAGTGCGTGCGGGGCCCACTCGAAGGCCGTCCATGAACACAGTCATCTTGATGTGTTCATTGAGTGGGTTTCCCACTAGGGACGCCGTGAGCTCCCGTATCTCTTGCACATACTCGTGCAGTTCGCGTCTTTCTTGTTTACACGCGAGGAAGCGCGAACGCTGGCGGTACTCGTAGTTCGCCGGGAGGAACGCGGCTCGGAGCTGTTCGCACAGCTGAGCCCAGGATGTGAAACATCCAGGGGATGTCGCTTCCCGAGTGTACACCCAACTCTTAGCACGACCGCTAAGGTTGGAGAGTGCAAAAGCAACACGCAGTTGCTCGGTCGAGATCAGAGCCGCGTCCATCGCGAGCTCTACTTCTCGGACCCAGAAGTGAAGGTTCTCGCCTTCCTTCCCTTCATACGGCTTTACCTTCAGCCGTATTGGCTTCGGGTGAGGCGGGTTTGCTTCCGCCGCCGGAGCCTGCAGGTTCTCCCGCACATGCGCGATGAGGCCCTGCTCGTACGCGTCGAATGCATTGACGCGCTCGAGCTGCTCAGCCGGTGTTGATACCACCAGGCTCTGCAGGGCCTCCATCCCGAAGATGCCTGCCATCTTCCGAACCGACTCGAACTGAGAGTCGTTCATATGGGAGAAGTCGTTCCTATCCATGGCAACGAACTTCGGAGGTTCAGGTAGACTACCCGCGATGGCGTGGATTGACTACAAGTGCTACCAAGTGTGACGGGGTCACACAGCACCTTGCGCTAGAGGAAGTTATCTTCCGAGAGTATACAAACTCTCAGTGAACGGCAGTTCACAGGTCCCCTCTTTAATTAAAGAGAGCGAAGTGACCTAAATAAGGTAGATTGTAAACTGAGTATATTTATAGGTAGGTTAAGTTTGAGGTTAATACAAACTATCAGTTACCTATAGAAATGCAATGTCATTTAACCAATGGTTGGTTTTGAATGACCTTGGTACCTTGTACCAAATATCCCGGAGTATGACATGTCATACTCCTGAAGTGTGAAGTGTCACACTTCATGTAACCAGGGTACACTTAGTGCTACGTACCCCGTTACAACGTCGCTCTCGGTGGTATGCTGCGTCGCGTTGTCGCCTCGCTGCAGCCAGCTGGTTCCGGTGCTCGATGCGATCGGCGAGATTGCGGCACCTTCTCCCTCGCTGATGGCGCGTGACATGGTGCCTGTTCCCCTTGACCCAATGCCAGCACACGTCACAAATCTGGCACGGGGGCGCAGGGATACCGCGGCAGCGCCCAAAGTCGTGGTGACAATTGTCACACACGTATCCTGGCGTCGATAGGAGTTCGGAGATGTCCATTCTGCATAACCAAAACAAATATATTACGTTGGACCAAAACAGACTATTCATAAATTGCGTGTGCCGAGGGCCTTGGTAGTCGCACGTGCGCTGTGGGCCTTTCGCACCAGTAGAGCAGATAGCTTCGCGGTAGAGTCGATAGTGAAGCGCAGATTTTTTCAAACGTGCGCAGGCTCCGGATGCGTCTCGTGCGAAATGTATCCAATTGGCATCAGAAAAAAACCATTGCCCTTACCCTACCGCGGCGGGCATGCCTGTTGTAGTATAAGAAAAATGGTGTATTATGTGTACACAAAATTGCCTACCCCTACATAAAATCGCACAAGTCCTACTTCTCTATCATGCGTCCAGCCTGAACAATAAGAAGTTTACGTGTTTCGCAATAAATTTGTTCGATGTTTGAAGTTAAAGAACTACTACAGTATTACCTAAAATCCTAACGTGTTCCTAAAGCTTACTGGTTTTGGTTTTGCAGTGCCGCGAGTTCTTCCTGGAGTCCCATGACATACTTTGCCATCTCGTCCCGTGACGTACACGACTTCAAGATCATGTTGCGCAGCGCGAGGCGTGCCGAGTCGACATTTGGGTCCTCAGCGGCAGTAAATAGCGGATGTCGAGCCACTGACGGCACCGCACTAGGCGATCCCGTCGAACCACCCAAAACTCTAGCTAAGTGGTCTGAGTGATCGTCCTGGTTAGACACAAAGTCTGCGTGTAGTAGCTTCTTGTTGCGTGGCGAGGTGGACGCCGTCGAGCTCGAGTATGAAGACACAGCAACGCTCGTAGGCGACACGGGGCGTCTCATGCACAGCAGATCGGCGTTCTGCTTCGCCGTGGCAGTAGGCGACGCTGGCGCCTGCTGTGCCTCAGCATCAGCCAGACTGGCTCGTAGACCGACACGCTTGCTGCCTCCAGCCCGGATGTGCACGAGCACGTAGTCTCCCTTCTCTCCAGTGCCAACCTCATCTGCGAGCATTACAGCATGCATACGGAACACCTTCTTCTTAGCAGACACATCAGTGGCACGGCTATAGCACGTGGCGGTGATGTAGCGCACGATGGGCTGTTTCTTAGGCAGACCAGTGACGAAGCTCATCTTGCGCCATTCAAAGTCCTTGCTCGACTCTTTCTTACCGCCTTTACCCGCAGGTTTCTTGCCACTAGTGGTGGTAGTAGACGTCGCATCGCCCGTTGTCTTTTTCTTGCGTGGGAAGCCAAACGAACCCTTGCCGAGTAGACGCGAACACTTCAGGAAGTACATGCAAGACACAGGCTGGCTGTAGATGAACTCTGGGTGTAGCGGAACGCCCCGTGGATCCAAACCGAGGTCGTAAATGGGGATCTTGAGTTCACTCTTGGGCGTCGAGAAGATGTCGAAGTATTGACTCGCCGAGGGCCAGGGAGTCTTGTCTTCCACCACGACCTCCTCCTCTTGTGTCTGGACATAGGTCTGCTCCTGCTCGGATGATACGCGTGACAACACGTCCAGCAGCGCATCAGCTGCGACACCTTCGTTGCGTTGCTTCTGTGCAGCCAGCAACTCGGCCAGTCCAGGTAGCACCATAAGGCGAGGCGCCTTATCTGGCGAGCCGCGTGCTGGGAGCGCATGGGACTCCGCATTGCTGTCGGGTGTGCGTGGTCGCTTGCGGCGGATCAGCTGGAACTCAGGCGCGCACTGCGTATCCCTCTCCTCGTCGCTTGGCATGATGGGCTCCATTCCTTCCTCAACGTGGCTCTCACTCGGCAACTCGCGAAATGAAACGCTGCGCACCTTGTCAACCCGGTGACCTTCCGACACCAGTAAGCTTGCGTGCATACGAATCGGCATATGCGAGGGAACGGGGAATTTCACCGTGTTTCCCTCGCTTATCTGGGGTTTTCAAGTAATGGCGACAGTTTTGAAATTTGTAGGACTTTTACGTAATCCCACTGAATTTAGTCTGCGAGACCAGTACAGTAAATCCCAGAGCCTTAAGCTGGGGTTGAGTACACGCAGCTTTAGTCCGCGAGAGCAGGCCTAAGCTCGGATCGAGTGAATGCAATGTCCCCGATACGTTTTCCAAGTGAATCGATCGATATGCGGTTGCCCAGGTGTTCGCCACGCGCAGCTAATGCGTGCGATTCAAGAAATCGTGGAACACGTCATTGCAGAACCCGGACGCGCTGGAGACTCTGCAGATCGTGCGCCAGATTCCCTGGTTGCCGTTGGCTTGCTGGTGTGCGGCCATTTCGCCAGTCTCGCACTTGGCGGTGGGCGCTTGCAAGACCGGATTTCTTCTAAAACCTTATGGTAATGAAGGTTTTCTGGAGTTAATCTGGACGCTTCTTAGTGACCTGATTTAGTAAGACCTGTCAAAATATTTGAAATATTGGCCATGTCATTAGCATTAAATTTTAAGGGTCCAACGGCAAGTTGCCTTTTCGCCGCGACATGATGGATCGGGTGGTGGCGAGGACCGCTCCAAAGAACTGCAAGCTTTAGGCTCAATCGCGGTTGTTGCCCGTGTTGCCGGTCATCCTACATGTATCAGGGTTGTTTGATAATCAGCGTGCATACGCATCGCTGGTTTGCATTCACGCATCGGGTGGTGAGCAGCGTGGCGTCCGGCTATCCGGATAGTAGCTAATGTACATGTATTAATATCGCGAAGGCAACACCAGTGGTGCCATGATGGCACGGTCACCACCACTTACTTGTACTTCGGTACTTTAGCGGGTGGACTTGGATTCCAGGACTCTTCTGGTCCAGCGTGGTGGACCACCACGGAGCTCGCATTTGAAACAAGGATGTTGAATCGTTGAGCTCCCCATCGCGTCGCTCACCTGGCCGCCGTCCCGCGTGCCGTACATTTATCAACTGGATGGGAGGGAACGCCGCGCTAGACTTCATCGAAGACCAGCATTATTGCTGGCTGCCGCACTCATCAAGCGTCGTCCTTGAGTGCTGTGACGCTGAACTCGACGATATTAATCTTTTCTTCTCGGTGTCGTTCAGATCAAATCGTTCTAGGTGCGCGCAAGGATCAATCTTGAATCCAGTTGGTACAAGCTCACGCGGCAAATGTCACTTGGCGACGCTGGTGTCGTGGTTACAGCTTTGCAGCGGCAATAATCTGCGTTTTGGGTCAGCGAACGGCGAGTACATGTATACCTACCTCGATGCTCGCATTGCTTTCATCGCAGGTGAAGTGCATTGCGCCTTTGTGACTTACAGATGCTGAGGCGGTTCCCATTTTCGTCGACAACGACGCGATCGCCGTGTTCAATTTGGCCGTGTTTCCACATCGCGTTTCAAGAGCATCTCGCGACTTGTCCAATACATATATTGGCGATGCATTCACGCCGGCAATCTGCATGGCAACAACGTCGTGGACGCCCGCTACATGAACATGAAGCGCTTTTTGCCAGGAAGCGAGCGCGAAAGTGTAGACGAATGCAATTGTGACCCACAGTGGTACTGCCGGTCAGTTACAGCGTGCAGCACCAGTTCCACCTTTGCCAACGATTTCGCTACCTACCAATGGTACGGTACATGTACCATTTTACAAAGTCCATGTACTGTATTAATACATGTAGACCATGACAAAGTTCGCTTTATTAAAAAAAAAATGTTCAAATGTTCTGCGAAGAATTGTCAGCCCCGCAGCAAGTTGTTGCCCCCATTGACTATCCTCACGACAGTATCCATTATTTACAGACACAGCATCATGCTGTCAGCATCCGATGGGAGATTCAAGCTTCCACGGTTATAAATACCGGTACGTAGAAGAATTTAGGATCAACTGATTGAATGCTTCAGCGAAGAGATCCACCATTGCGCTGCTATCATGACACTAGCGCACTGTTGCACAGTTCATTGTACATGTACATGTACTTGTATTGAAGAGTGAGTCATCAGCGCAGCCATTAGCCTGGTGAAAAACCGGCGGTGATCAGGGAGGTAGGGGGCGAACCATGTGGCGGCCACATGCCCGGGTATCCATGTAGGCCCTACATTGTAGGGCCCAGATCAAATCGAGCCGCTTTCCCGGGAGAGACAAGGAAGCCAGTCATATCCCGCCCTTGCCCTTGCTGCTGTCGCTGGAAATCCAAAACGGAGACTCTGGCGACGTCTCATTTCCCGTGTTGGCTCTCAGAAAGGGTGCGCCAAATTGTTCCGACTTACTTGACTGCCTGCGTGGCAGTACGATCCCTGCTCCCTCTTTGATCTCCGTGCAAGATCCCCCTTCCTACGACATCATGGGTGAAAGCTCGTCGTCCTCAACGGGATTGATCATCGGCCTCGTGATTGCTGCAGTTGTGCTACTCGCTGTAGGAGGCTGGTATCTACGTCATTGCCGACGTCACAAACGCGTCAACGGACCCAGAAGTAGTCACAGCCAGAGCACGGAGTACGTGGACTGCGTGTTGACCCCTGACCTCATGGCGATCGTGGCTGACGGTAGTCGTCGGTCTTCCAGCTCAATGGGGATCGGCGGCAAGTGGTTCCATCATCTGCCACGTATCACTAGTGTACCGCCCATGGAGTTCTTCGACCACCTCAGTACAGGAGGCGGACGCGATTCGATCAGCGGCGCCACCACAACAGCCACCGGATCGTCCCCTGTGACCAATGGAACGCAACTGCAATGGCTGGATAAATGTGACTCTAGTGACGAACTGGCATGCTCTGCTGCGGCTCTGGAACAGAGTCGTCTACCTCCAAATTGCGTCGTTGATGGCGAATTACTACACGAAGGCAGCTTCACCTTAGCCTTCCGCGCTACACTACGGATCGAGGGGCAAGCGAATCGCCAGGTCGTCGTGAGACGCCTACTTCCAGAACTCGCAGAGCAGCAGTCGTACCGTCAAGCGTTCATGGCAGATATTACGCTCAGTGCCTCACTGCTACATCCACGGATTGTAGCGTTCATCGGGTTCTACGACCCAACACAGCGCGTGTACGACCTCGATTCACCGACATCACCTTCACACATTGTTCAACAAGCAGCTCAGCCCTCAGCAGTGACCGAGTACATGCCTAACGGGGATCTGCGTGCATTGCTTACACTGCGACCTCGCAGCGCGCAAGACTTTGGGTGGTTCCATTCCGTCTCAGTACCCAAAACCAAGGCACATCTTGCGCTCGATATCGTGGATGCACTTGTGTACTTGCACTCTAGACCAGCAAGTGTCAACACACCGCTCCATCCTCCACAACTTAAGGCACAACGTGTTTTATTATCGGAACTTTGTGACGCGAAACTCTGCGCGTTCGGGGTAAAGCGCGCCCAAGCACCGTACACTCGAAGCGACTTTTCCGTCGCGTGGTTGGCACCTGAGCTACTGCGAGGCGAGCCGAGAAGTGAACAAGCGGACGTGTACTCCCTAGGTGTGTTGTTTACTGAATTAGACACGTGCGAGCTACCGTTCGCTTCGGGTGTTGACATGGACGATGGAATGGATGAGCAAAGTCAATTGGCTCTGCTCGTAAGCTCAGGTTGCATCCGTCCTTCACTGTCGATGGATTGCCCCGTTCAGATTCAAGAGCTCGTGATGCGGTGCTTGAGTTTCTCGCCGCACCAACGCCCGCCTATTATCGAAGTGCAACATACACTACGGAAACTTATCAACGACACCAGTGTTTGTGGCACGTCACAAGCCTCGCTTCCGTCCAATGTGTCGTCTCTTCGGAGTACACCGGGGAATGCCACACTCAACACACTCTTCACACCGTGAGGAGATTTTGTTATTGCCAAAAAGCTATCAATCTTTTTCTGTAAAAAAAGTAACAGCTCAGTACAATATTACAAAGTTCGTCTTCATTAGCATTTTATAGGTTGTGCGGTGATGTCCCAGAACGAAATTGAGTCTAGTCGCGCGTCATCTAAACGACACACAATCGGTTTGTCTCCTACAGCAGCGAAGCCATCTCTCTCACGAAGAGGGAAGACTACCACGCGGTAATTCCACAGATGATGTCTTTGATGAAGTGGGGCCGTGTTCATGATGACGTCCCACGCGTCGAAGGTGAGCAAGAATTGACCTCCAAACACCACGTAGCCCAGTCGGACCAATTCGTAGCTATTTAGTGCAATTTTGGTCCGATCACTTTTTTCGTCTCCATAAATGTAAACTAGCGAACATCCCAGACCTCCGACGTTGCTGGCACGAATGGCAAGAGCTCGTTCAACGCCTTGGAGCTTCGTGTCTGGCTGTTTGACAGGAGGAATGTATCGAGCAAACACTAGAGGCAGAAGGTTGAGCCCCACCAGCACGAGCTTGATACACATCAGCAGTGTCAAGTTCGCGTTCATACGAGGCCCAACGTCCGAGATGAAGAAGTCAACGAGTTGTAGCTCCTGCATCTCAGCTGAATGGATTTTAGTTGCCACTCGGCCATCCACACCCGGTAGTGCACCTGAAGACGCTAGTAACACGCGAATACGATGTAGTAAACAGAGTAATGCCAACGTGGGCGTGAAAAAACTATCAGTGATTCTTCGACGCGTGATCTTGGCAACAATATTGAGCAAGCTGTAGTATACAAGGCAAAACTCCACCAGCCCGGGATAAATCGTCGACCACGACTCGGATAACGCGATCTGTTCACCGTCAAAGTAACACCCGGCAGTCCAAAAAGAAGCGATCGTAACTTTCAGGTGAGGTAGTAACACCATCGGAAGCATGTTGAAACTGCGTGATCCCGACACACAGCCCAGTCCGCCAATGAACCATTCGCTTCTCCCTTGATAGAAACCACGATGAAGTGCTGCCATCGCCACGATCCAACGTACTAGTAACATTCCCAGTGACACATTTGCAATCAATGTTTCCCAGTCATAAATCACTCGCACGGTACGCTCGAAGGTGCTTGTGAATAGAAAGAACCCAAAGTGTTGCGACGAAGCGATCGTGATCGAGGTCATCGTCAGTTCTCGTTCTTCAGTAGACATCTTGTCTCCCCAGGTTTGCGATACAGACGAAGTGAAACATTCCTTTCGGTTTGTAACACAGTCGAGTTCTTGCTTTGTTAACGTGTTAAATTCCCGTTGAGTCAGTCCATCAATAGACGCTGGATCGGAGCTGATGACATCCGAGAAGTAAGCTGTCTCCGATTCATCTCCATTCCCAACATGTAGCCATCCGTGTCGCCACTTCCCGTTTGGTGCCTGTAGCCATTTCTGGGTTAAATACTCTCTAACTGATCTGTTAACCGCTAACATCGCCGGGAATCCATCCGTTAAAGTTGAATCGACGTATTTCCCTGTTAAGCGAAACATACAGGCTGATCCATCCGTGCCAGGCACAGCATAACGTGCAACTGATGCGTTGTCCCAGAACGGCATCACTAGCACTGGTAGAGCGTTCTTGATCATGTAGACGGTGTCACTAGTGCTATCAGAAGCCTTTTCACCGTCTACTACAATTCGTAAGCCATCTCTTGTAACACTGTAGCCGAGATCTTTGTCACAAGTATCTAATATCATATCCAGAGTCGTGGAAATCAGAGCACAAGTGTCCATATAAGTGGCATAGGCGTCGTCATTAAGTGTAGCACCGCGACGACGTACGACTCGGTATCCATCTACCTGGGGATGGTAACTTTCAGGGACTAGAGTAGCACCAGAAGTTCCAAGCACATCGTTTAGTAGGACAGGTTTGTAGTAGGGCCCATCAAGCACACAAGCCAACACTCGATCGGTGACGAGTTTGTCATTCTCGCCGTCGATTTGACCCATTCCTCCTGCGATTGGGTAACTTCCGTTAAATGCCCCACCTTTAGAAGTGACGCTGTTCCAGAAGAGTCCCAAGGACTGCGAGAGTATCAATACCGAGATGAAGATACACGTTGTCCAGTGATACAGCGCAGTCGCAATTTGTCTGGGTGTTGGACGTGGAGGGGGACCTCGCTGATCTTGTGACGGATACGCTTTGGCTTGTTGAAAGCTGTCATCAGTAACAGTATCAGCAGGTCTACTAGGCTCCAGCTTGGGCAGAATATCCTCATGGGTACATGTATTCACGCGGTGCAGACCCTCGTCGCTGCTGATGCATGTACTCGCCATTGTAATTTTTTAGAAGTGACTTCGTGTTGACTTAAAATAACGACGTGAAGCCAACTAACTGACGAGGTTCTCTGGATGTGAATATCCACAGATTTGTCGAATGGTTGACACTTTTTGGGCTGATCTTTCATACTTCTCAAGCATCCCAGCTTGCTTTGCAGCCAGACAAATCTGCAGATGTAGTGTTTCCGTGGTATGATAGCAATCCGGCAGACCGCAACGCGTCCAGATCTCCAGTAACATTTCAGCAGCTTCGATGACGTTCACCCAGTCGCGTTGAGCTCGAGCGAGCTGCATCTCAGCAGTGAAGAGTGCAAACTGAGCCTCAACACTGCGCTTAAATACGTTTTCATGCTGCTTTTTCAAGCTAGCAACGCGTTGTTTCACGTCACTTTGGTTTGCGTTCACAAGTTGCACCAATTGTACCAGCACGCGAGCTTCATCCTGTTCGTCGTCTTCTACAGGATCTTGCTCTCTCGCTTCAGTTGTACAGCGATCGCAGACACAGTCAAAACCGAAACCTTTCAAAAGCAGTGACTGTCGTCTTTTTCTCGTCTGTAACAAGTCGATGTAAGAGTATTTTACGGCGTAACCTTGAGGTATCTCCACAATAGCGTGGAAAGCGAGAGTTCGGGTACGTGGATCAAAACTTGGCGCCACATTCGGTATACACGAGTGGTTTAACGCCATCGCTGCTTCGGGGAACACACCCGTACCCACACAGGTGACGCCATCCAAGTAAAGCGGATGCGCATTGCAGCGCACACGCTCAAGCGTATCTCGCACATGTTGTGGGTCTAGAACTCGATTTGTCATGTTGATAATGAACGTTACAGTAGCGCACGTCTCGCTCTCTTCGCTGTTATCTTCCTGACGATGGACAGCCAATAGGTTTAACGCTTGAGTGTTCTTCACGAACTGCTCCATACTTAGTACCGCTAGTGCTAAGCGCACTGTCTCTACGTCTCCTAGATTGCAATCGCCACGCTTTAACGCACAAAGTGCTTGGCATTGAAAGGCATGTAGTGTTGCGTCTGTATCTAGACAAGCACGAGAGCAGTACCTTGCGAACTCGCAGTCTCCACACTGAAGAGCCTTCCGACGCAGCACTGCAAAGCACCAATGGCACCGTCGTGGCGCTAATTTCTGTCGGACAATTACAGCAAATGCTGCAGCCTGGAAAACACGCTCGCCTGGGTGGATATTTTGCTTGGCAACTGTGAAGCGACCCATGGAGCTGCTGGTCGCGCTCCAGAGCGACACGCGAGCATTGTCAATCTCGAATTTCGAGTCGTAGGGGCTGCGGCCTAGTGCAGTATTGGCATCAGGTGATGCAGGATGAGCGGTGCATATGTGGCGTTGTGGAATCCATTGGGAATGGAGCTCATTGAGCTGTTGAGGGGCATTGGACATGCTGGTGGGGGGTGAAAGGGACGTGCACTTCCAGACCACGTAGCTGAGCCCAGCGATGGGATTGACGCGCAAAACTTGTGCATGTAGTAGACACGATGATGGAAATGGAGAGACACGATTGGTGGGGCCTGAATGAAGTTGTGGGCGGCAGCACGCAGGAAGCGAGACTCCCGTCAGTAGCACATGGACGCTGGTGAGATTGCTGGTCATAATCAGGCACGCCGAAAAATAAATTGAAACCGTAGCTACCGGTATTAGTGGTCGCCAGCTCTGTCACAAAATTTGTGATATATTAGTTATCCAAAAATAGCGTACCTTATCGAAAATAGATAATTTGAAGTTACTTGCAAAAAATCAAAGGTGATTTTCTGATTTATGGGAAATCCTCATTTCAACAGAGATTCAACTACTTTAGTAAGACCTAACTGCCCTTTTGTGAGCCAGCGTACGACGCATGACCTATTTTTTCTCAACAAAAGTTTTGACGAAACGAAAACTATCTTGCTTTTAGTATGGTCTGGCACTCATTGAGATGTGACAAGCAGATGTCTTACGCTGAAAAGTCGCAGGGAAGTGCAGCATGTACCATGACAGCGATGCTGTGGCCCCCGTTTCTCTCACCCAGCGGCAAAACAGCACAATTTGTGATTATGTAGACATGTTTCTATGTGTAGCACTTATTGTGCCTTTCCAAAGTTTTGGCCAATCTGACCTTTAAAGGCTGGTCCTGTGAGTGTTGGTCTCCTCCACACCACATGTACACCAACCTCGTAAATATTATTGATCTAGAAGCTGTATTTACCATCTAGAACTGGGTTTTTACCAGAATTCTAGATGGTTGGCTGCTGCTCAGCCACGCATTACTTACTCTCTTAAATCTCAATCTCACTCTTCTTTTTACTAAGTTCTTCGCAAGTGTTCTTCCCTTTTCTTCCAATTCTGCCAACGCCGAGTCCTATGGCTCGATAGGTTATAAGCCCAACGTTGGGGAGGACCAGTGAAGACTTCCCGCGCCTTAACGGATCCAGCTTCGCAGTCTGGAACGCTCGTGTCCGCGCTGCTCTCGACGGTCAAGGTCTGTTAGGCTTCATCGACCAAGAAGACTTCGACGGAGACTCTGACTCGGCCAGCTCTGACCTCGACGAGATCGAACCCCTCCCACCCAAGCCCGATGCTCCACCGTCTCCGACGCCGTCCGAAGCCCTACTTGACTCTGACACCGGGACGCTGCCGCCAAACGACAGCCCGCCCGAAGATGCTGATGGCGATACCACCGGACGTAAGCCCGACCCGTCATCCTCTGAAGCTCCATCGGATTCGTCTTCGGGCAACTCATCCGATCCAAAGGTGGATACACCCAAACCCGCCCGCCCCCGGCAGAATCAGCCCAAGGCCCAGTCGAACCTCCCGGTGATCAAATCCTTTGCCGACACTAAACGGGAGAAGGACAGACGCAGAGCATTGCTCCGCGCGAAGGCCAAGCAAGCTCGAGCAAAGCTTCGAGCCGCCAAAAAACGTGCCGCTCGAAAACCGAGCTCACGTGAAAGACGCCGCATGGAGCGCAAGACTCGATCTTTCTTGATCTCCACGATTGATGATGCGCATGTTCTCCTTGTGGAAGGATGCACGTCAGCCTACGCGATTTACCAGAAACTGCGTGATCGCTATGAAGGCTCGTCAGCTCACGGTGACCCCTATTACATCAATCACTACTTGATGACCATCAAATATGAGGAGGGCACCGATTTAATGGCCTTCTTTATTGAGTTGGAGCGTGCGCTCAAGGATGCTGCGGAAGCTACTGGTATAGTGATGACTGATGAGCAAAAGTCTCTGTACTTGTACCATGCCATGCCCAGCTCGTGGAAACCAGACCTTGCGATCTGGAAGGGAAGCAAGAAATTCATTCCCTACACCGACCTGAAGACCAACATCGAGCGAAAGGTGCTTGACGACTATGCCAAGCGCAAGTACATCATTGACAAGGGTAGCCCGGAGTCTCGTGCGGCTTCCAACGAGACTGCTCTCAAAGCAGTGCACAACGCCCCGGATGGTCGTGACGATCCAGCTTCCCCAGCAAGCACATCCACGTATTGCCAAAGACCGAATCATGCAATTCGTGACTGCCGCGTGCTGCAGAAGCACTTGCGCACTGGTACCGTGAAGGAAGGAACCGTCCTCCCCGCGAACTTCGCCATCATTGAGCGGAAGCCGCAAGATGACAAAACGCCGTTTCCTGCTAAGCACCCTCGCTATCAGCGTTCTGGCAACCGCCAACGGCCCTCAGGACGTCCTGACCAAGGCCTTCAACCCTGGAAGGCACCTGAAATCTATGACCGTTTTGGCAACCCGGTGAACTACCAAGAGCTCCAGCGCAAGTATCACTCGCGCGAACGTGAAGCCGGCCTCATTGCCTATACGACCATCTTAATGCCTGACATCGGTCTCTCGGCTACGTCCTCTGATCCTCATGACCCTACATGGACTGTCGACTCGGGATGCACCCGCCATGCTGCCTACCAGGAATCCTGGCTCAAAGAGATCCGCCCTTATGCTGGCACCATCATTGTTGGCGGCAAGCAGCAACTCTCCATTCGCGGCATCGGTGATATCATTCTTGAGGTGGTCGACTCTGAGGGTAGCTTGAGTTCTGCGATGTCCTTTTCGTGCCGGACATGAAGTTTAATCTTCTGTCTATCGCTCAGGTACTGAAAATGGGCATTCGACTCGTATTTAGTCGCACGAGATGTACATTCTTCGTGGGCAAGAATTACAAACTTCATGTTGAGCTCGCTGCCGACATGGACTTGCTCCAACTCAGAGCCAAGACTCCTCCCAAGACGCCTCCAACCGCACTCGTGTCTTCGGATTCTGCGGACGACAACCCCGTCAAAGCCTTAGTGGCTCAACCAGGTATGGACCCTAATGTCTTATTGTGGCACAAACGTCTCGGTCATCCTAACTTTCGTGCGATGCAGACCATGTTTAAGACCCAAGCGGCTCCTGAACTAGCGTTCACCCAACCATCTGCGATCCCAAAACACTTCTGCCCTTCGTGCATCCTTGCTAAAGCCCATCGTGCTCCTTTCAATAGCAATGTTGATCGTTCAAAATCTCCCCTAGAAAAAGTTCATTCTGACATTAATGGCCCTTTGCCTTACCCCATCCTAAGTGGCGCACACTATTATATCACATTCATTGACGACTATTCGCGTTTCATGCACCTATATGTTGTTGCGCACAAGTCTGATTTGTACGATTGCTATGAAAAGTTTCGTAAGGCAGCCAAGAACCGTTTCAACACTGAGGTTAGTACACTTGAAACCCAGTTCAACCAGTATGACCCAGAAGTTCAACGGCTTCAGAGTGACAATGGAAAGGAATACGAAATATTAGGCAAGATCATCTTTGATCGCTACGGCACCCATGCTCAGTTCACAAACGCATACACGCCTCAACAAAACGGAGTTGCGGAGCGCCAGATGCGCACCATTCTCGAACGAGTGCGAGCTCTACTGATTGACAGTGACTTATCTCGCCAGCTTTGGGGAGAGTGCTGTTAATACGTCACTCATCTTATCAATGTGACCACAAGTAGCGTACTCCCAAGAGGAGTGACACCGTATGAGCTCTGGCACGGGAAGAAACCATCCCTAGCGCACATCAAAGTTTTTGGTTGTGCAGCATTTGCTCTCATACCTGAACCGCATCGCAACAAACTACAGGCACGGGCTCGATTGTGCATGTTCGTCGGCCTACCGCAAAACAAAAAAAGGATACCGCCTTCTCAGCACGACAGAGAACAGAATCATCTTTAGCCGAGATGTTACGTTCAAAGAGGAGACGTTCCCCAACTTGACGTTCCTTGAACGTGCCACCCCAGACGCACTCAGTACGTCTTTACCTGTTCAAAAAGAACTCCTATCATCACTAAGTGCACTCCTCAAACGAAATCACGCCTCTCTGGTGGCCACTGATGCTGACGTTTGTCCCTCTTCTCCAAAGAAAATCAAACATCAAGACTCTGATGTAGTGTATCCCAAAGCTTTATTTCTGAGCGAGCCCATTGACCTAAAAGAAAAACAAACCCCATTATCACTCTCTTAGCTGCTCGTTATGACCCAAAACCAAAGAATTATGAGGAAGCAATGCGGTCACCGCATGCATCTGACTGGCACGCTGCCGCTCTCTCAGGATACCATTCGCTCATGCACAACAAGACATGGACTCTGGTGCCTCGCCCGCACATCCGTAAGGTTCTGCAATGCCGATGGGTT